AGGCGATGAACGAATCGATCTCAAATAGATTTTGTAATTTTCTGTTTCCTTAAATTAATTAAATTACCTACACCTTTACTGAAATAACTATAGCTGTATTTGTCGCCCACATAATTTTTTTTACAATAGTGAGATATTCAAAAGAAGCCTTTTTGAATAATTTTACATAATTCTAAACAGATTGAACCAACCAACAATCTTGATTAAAAATGCAATGAAGGGGATAAATAACATTTTTGAATATTTAAAAAGCTGGATCCAAATTGCCTACTACTGTAATGTATATGTGTATCTTCTTGGGCACTTCTTTCAACTTAGTTTTTGACAAAATATTGTATTTGTGTGAATGAAAAGAGAAAAAAAATGTATCGCTTTATTCCCTTAATCAATGTATTTATCCTCTTTACCCATTTGACCCTTCAATTAGTTAGATAACTGTAAGTAGTAGATTCGATATTGAATTTAAAAATAAAACGTTTAATTTTCGAACTAAATGAAAATGAAAATTTTTAATAAAACTTTTTTTAAAATCTAAACATGGACTAATCGAAAGAAAACAACTAATCAAAAAATTAGCACTAAAACGATTTCAAACTTTAGGTACTCGGCACTAGCGGATCCAGGATTTAATTTTTTGGGAGGAGGGCTTCAGCCCGAAAGATTTTTTTTCATATACGTATAACGATAATTAATTAGAAAAAAAGAAAGAAATTAGCTATCTATATGAAATGGTGTTTAAGCGGTTCTTGAAGTCCTATTAAATGTAATTACACGAACAAGAATGCTTCAAGAGATAGTTTTTAATATTTTTTTCTGTAAAACATGGTTATATTTTACCATTTCGGGAGGAGCTTCAGCCCGAAACCCCCCCCGTAAATCTGTACTCGGATTTAGATGATAAGGTATTGTTTTGGATACAGTTTGGTCAGCAGAGTGTTCCCACTGCCTTATTTATATCTCGAATAATGTCGGGTACTCATTTAAGTATGAATGAACCCAGGAAGCTTTCGTCAAATAACGTTCGCCACACTGACAAAGGCCTCCAATTTTCTGTCAATGGAAAAATCTTTTGTAATTTTAACTCACTGTGACATACATTGTAATGGAAGACGAAAGAAAAAAAATGCTTAACTGGGTTTTGCTTAATATTTTGACTTGTAATTAGACATAAAAATATGTAAATATCTGGCCAAGTCGTATGGAACTTCTCTGATTCTGAACTCTGTTTTAAAAATATAACAATAATAGTTAAAGTAAGCGATTTAATATTACGTAATTAAAAGAATCTTAGTCAACGACGTAGATAGATTTTTGTTCATGTTGAATAAATAATTTTGAATGTTGCAGTATTCCCATACGCTGAGTAAAATGGATTTGAATTTATTTTAGAAAGTTGCCAAATACTTCATAACTTTAATGCTTTCAGATGAAACTCGTCAAGACTACAAATATTATTAGGAATCGATTTATTGTCCTATACACTCGATTGCTGCAATAACGATTGTGGAAAAGGAGTGTCGACTAATGGATAGACCTTTCGACCACTGTGACAAGTAGAAGACCCCTAATCTCCTCCTAAATATAGAGCTCCATCGGAGATCTATACGCCCACTGCTTCACCTCTTACAAGATTTATATGTTGTGTGGGTGGTGTGACGATTCTCTTCTGAATGATTTAGTCTTCGTTCCTGAACGATTAACCGATGATGCAGGAAAGATGACATTGCATTTTAAATACTCTCATCTTTATGTCTATTTTATTCTTGACATGAAAAATCATTAATTCGTGTGAATTTGCCTGTAAAGTAAATTCATGACTCGATTATCCAGTTGTCACCAGATTGTTTATGGTTGAACTGCTTATGATTTGCATAAGATAATTCATTCTTTTAAAAGGTTAATGTTAATTAATAAATTGTGGAACACATAGGCGCAGAATTTCCATTTTGATTGGAGCGGGGAGGGGAGGAGATGAAAAAATAAAAACTTATGGCAGTAGTTAATATTATGTGTACAAATTCAACATAATTATTGTGAAACGAACAAATATAATATTAAAAATAATTTTTTTTAGTCATTTGTACAATTTTTTAAATGTGCTTTTGGATATACTTCAAATTATCTGAACCAAACAATTGGATACATTAAAATTTGTATAAATTTAACATGGGAAGAAGGGGGACAGCTTCCATGACATAGCTCCATTTATTAAGCTAAAAATGAATAACGTTAAAAACTGAAAAATTCGCTTGAATTTTTAGTTTGTTCAACCCCCTAACAAAAATAACAAAGTCTGACTAGTTATGTAAAAATGTCTATAAAAACACTTTCTATTAAATATATTTATACTTGTACTTGTTAAATATATTTTTTCAACTTCATTGCAGAAAATCACTTGAAAATGGAGGTGTCCACACGAAAGATTAATGAATCATAAAATGCAAGGATATTTTCCAATTTTAATTTATCCAAGAATAAATGAAAATTTAAAGAATAGGAATATTTAGGTCGATCTAAAATAGTTACGTACCTTCTTATGGACCTTAGCTTGGCGAGCTGGTCAATCGGCTTTTCTTATTCGATTTTAGTTTATATATTTTGATCATTTATGTAGCTTATTCATTACTGCTATCAATTTTAATTTTTTACTTCAAATTATTGGGGAGGAGGAGGGGGAGGGCGAAATGATACTCTCGCTTCCCGATCGCCCCTCCCCTCCCATCTTCCCTTTCCCACCCCTTCGACGTAGTAGAACAGGAATAAAGTTATTAAATTTAAACTTCAAGACATTATGTACTTGTTCCATAAGCGATTCGTTTTTCCGTTCATCTTAACCGTCAATTGAGGCCGTTCGACCTGGACCTGACTTCTATTTTCAAATCTTCTGTGAAACTAGGCTCCTACACTGTTCTGGAAAATATCATGCTTTGGGTTCTATAAGTGAAGAACAGTTGCCCGAAAATGCGATGGTCCAGTTTGCGGGGATTCTCAAGGGGTATCGTTCTGTCAAATGAGGCGACACCCGTCACCAAATAAAAAGAATAACTAAACCGACTGGACATGGGAGCGATGATAACTACGCTGTTATCGTAATCGGAAATCAGAATGTGGTGGTTCAAGAAGTTTAATTGGCTAGCTCAATGGTTTATCGATTCACGATTCACTCCGAAGATATGTATATAAATTTTAGATGTAGCACTCTGAATAGTTGCTTTAATATCTTGAGGGATCATCAATTGTATTGAATGGAATATTGAAATAAGTACATCATCGGTTTATTGTTAAATATCATTAAATTAAATCACTGAAACCAAAATATTTGTGAAATTGGCTCTTGGTACAGATTTATCGCTTTTGATGGACGTTTATCGGACTATTAATTGTCTGCCACCGAGACCCACGTCAGTGCGATGCTGTGTGAAGTCGTATGCTCATATGTGTAAGAAATGTTCATAAAAACTTCACATTACGCAGCTAATAACACATCGAATAATTCACACCCTGCCCATCTTAACCTCTTTGCCTTCATATCATGAGCCATTGACTGACCAGTTTCTTTTAGCAGATTTTTATTGTTCCTTTTCTTCCATATGTTAAGGTTCTGATCCTTGATATTTCCCGTTGTCGTGCGGAGGAATTTTCTTCAAACTTCTCATTTTAAATTGTCGTTAGTCAATAATTTCGTTGTTGCTAATATAAATGTAACGATTTATAAATCTGCCAGTATTTTAACGAACACAGGTTTATAATTGTACAATATGTTACTAACTGGTATAAGGGAATATTGCTTACGTGATTGCAGTTTATTAGGGTTATATCCGTTTGACGACTTCGCAATGGAACACTAGCGGATCCAGGATTTAATTTTTTTGATGGGAAGGCTTCAACCCGAAAGGTTTTATTTTCAAATGTATGACGATAATTACTTTGGAAAAAAGAAAGAAACTAACTACCTATATGTAATGGTTTTTAAGTGATATTTGAAGTCCTATTAAATGTAATTACACGAACAATAATACCTTAAGAGATAATTTTTAATTTTTTTTTTTCATAAAACATGGTTATATTTTACCATTTTTGGGGAGGGGAGACCTCAGTCCGAAATCTTCCTCACCTCGTAAACCGCCTGTGCAATGGAAGATCCAATTTTTAATGATGATTGGTTACCAATGGATCTGTTACGCTGTCTGGTTTGTATTCGATTTTCGAAACAGAGCCCGCATCCCAAAGCAACTTATCGGTGAAGTGACATCATGCCCCCATTCTAAATAGTTTTTTTCGTTTTAGTATTGAAATATAATCAATTATAAAATCGATCCATGAGAATAGCATTATTAGATATATTATATACACGTTTGTTTTACAATGCATTTCTAAAATTGTAAATTAAAATATTTTACACACAATTCTAAAAGAGTGATGATTTAATTCAGTTATAAAGACTTTTATTGATATAAATAAGCATTTTTTACTTCGATAGAGTAGTTTGATTCTTTAGAAATTGAAGGAAAAAGTAATATTTGAAGGAAAATTGGAGAAGGATTGATCTATTTGTAAACTTTCAGCAGCTTACAAAAAAAAAAATATAGGTTATTATTTTCAGTGTGGTTTTAGATAGGTAGTTAGAAACATTTCTGAATCATTATCATTACCTGAAATTTTTTATGGTATATCTGCGCCTGTTTTGGAAAAGTAATAGTCAAAATTATTAACCTTTTTCAGACAATTAAAATATTCAGAACGTACCCAAAAGTACGTTTAGTTTATTTTGTTTTTATTTTTAAAAAATAATAAAATGTAGGGTTTTATTATTACTACACTTTAATGTTATACTGCTGTATTTTTTTTACTCAAAGCTTCATGGCAGTTGTAATTATTTTTATATATTTTGTATTATATAATACTATCGATTAATAGGTGAAAGTATTATGTGCATATTACTGTTTTAAACTGTTTATTTATATTTGTTTTGTCTACATATAAACATTTTGTCTTTTCAGATAGAGGGAGATGACAGAAAGGCGGTGGTGTTGGACGGCGCCGTTGTACCTGGTGCTGCTGATGACGGTGGTGGTAGCACTGCGCACGATGCTGAAGCCGCAACCGGTGGCGGAAGTTGAGAACAAGCTGCTCAAGATGGACAGATCTCAGCTGATCTTGACTTCCGCTCCCTGCAACAGTTCGGCACCTCCCGTCTGGATAGCCATCGTCAGCTCAGCACCCAACAACTCCTTCCACCGACAAGAGATCAGGAGGACCTGGGGCCAGGGTAGGACAGTCGTATTTCTCCTGGGTGCTGCAAGTCCGCAATTACAACCGCTTATCGAAATGGAGTCGAGGCAGTATGGGGATATCGTCCAAGGTTCCTTCGTCGATTCCTACAGGAACCTTACCTACAAGCATGTGATGGGGCTGCAGTGGGCGAGCAACCATTGTCCAGGCGCCAAGTACTTTCTCAAGACCGATGATGACGTTTTTGTCAACACGGTATATTTCGAAAACTACCTCCCAGGACTCCCAGAGAGGCGTCTTATCCTCTGCCCACTCATGGAGCGAGCTATGGTTAAAAGAAGTTACAGGTAAAAAAACTTAATATTAAATAACATTTAGATTAAGGTTGGTAAATACCAGGTTTTTAAATTACTTTCTTGGAATGCATGACGCAATTGTTAATTGTCCTATGTAAAAATTTTCCATTTTTATTCTATTTGTGCTGAAGGTGACATTTTTTGTAGCATGCAATCTTCTACTATGGAAAATAGCAGAGAGAAATAAAATATGAAATTATACCAATAAATCATAAAGAAATAGTCAGTTTTTATGTTCTCCTGTAAAACACTCATTTTTACATAGGACGTTTTGCCCTAACAGTAGTGATATGCATGTTCAGTATGCATCTGAATTTTTTTAATCACGAATCATCAAATATGCAATCTGCAAATGTGGAATTATTTCGCTAGTAATAGGGATACGTTTAAGAATCCTGATATACTAAAATATATAGATATTAAATCAGATATCAAAAGTTTTTTTTATTTATATGATTTTTTTTTTAAAATTTAATTCTCCATATTATAGTGTAAAATAAATTCTATAACTTTAAAAATAAAATTAAAAGATTTCAGACAGTTTAAATATAAATGTATTTCCTCTTATATTCCACAGTGTGTAAAATACTTGATTGTTTCTAAGTTAAAGTTCTGCATTCCGAAACAATTTACAAGGGAGAAATTAACTCTCTCCCTAGCTCATCTTTCCTTAAGGGATACCCGTGTTTGTGGTCATTTCGAAAACAATAGTTATAAAAGTAATATAAATGATGATATAATATATAAAACATTATGACAATTAAGTGGATTGTGCTAGAGGAGATTTAAGTGAACTAATAAAGAAAAAATAAAAGTATTCTTATTTTATTTTAACAAGTAGGGTGCAATTTTTTCTAAGGAAAATTTATTTTCTAATTATATTCTTTAATATCAAATACAAATTTAAACCATTCAGAACTTCAAATATTCGTTATTGATTCGTAAAAACGTTTTGAGCTATCTGGCATCTCCTTGAGTTCATACTACAATTTTAAATTATTTGGGTTTTTCTTATATTATTTGAAATATTAAAATTATATTTCATATTTAACATTCAAACCTTATGAGTGTCCTATTTTAATTATAATTAAAATTATTTATTTTAATTCACAAATCATAATGTTATTAAAAATATAACTGTATGTCAAGAGTAAGACATTAACGAATTAGCTAAATTATTCATTTAATAAAAAAAATATATAAGTTTTCCTATTTATTTGCCATGTCAGTGTCAAGAAGCTTTTGCTGTTTTAGATCAAAGTGGAGAGTTACACATGACGAATATTCTGAACGATGGTATCCACCTTACTGTATGGGATGGGTGATCCTCTATTCTCCTGATGCTGCCTTAGCATTGTCTAATGAAGCTCTTAAAGAACCATATTTCTGGATTGATGACGTTCACATAACAGGTAACATTATTTTAAATTTCTCATGTTTGTTGTTTTTGCTTTACCGTTAAAATGGAATATACATAGTATATTAATAAAATTACTAACAAAATAATATTTAGAGTAGCTACTTTATTTATATTGTTTTTAGAATCAAAATTTTCCACTCCTGGTTTTCTTTCTTTACATAAAGACACCAATTAGGTTCTGTATCTGCCTTTAGTTTAATCCATGTGATTTACTACTATTCATAGGATTTTTATAAAGTTTTCAGAGAATGTACAAGTTGATATCTATGTGTTTCCTTATTGATTTCATCAAATTCTATCCCATACTTTGACTTATTTATGCTTAAATCCATTTTCTTAGGTTCTCCTATATTTCAAAAACATCTAATTCAATTTGTCTTGAAGGTACGATTTTAGCGTGTTTTTATTTAATCAAGTTCTATTCACTTTCGCATGCATATATGCAAACTTAAACTTGTTTTCCATTTGGCTTCACGTTAGAGAAAAGTTAAAGATTGGTGAAAAACTGATCGAGTATGTATCAATTTTATCAATTTCCATCTACTGCTTTGGCTTATGAATACTCAAATGTATTTACTTGATTCTTCATACTTAATATATATTATTTATATTATTTATGAAATGATGAAGTTAACTAATATCTTATAATTCTAGAACCAATTTCGACAAGTTTTAAAAAATAAATGGTTTTATAAAGTAACCAAATCACTTAATATGTTGTGATATGTCAAGTTCTTTAAAAATCCAAGTTCTTTATGATGTTAACATTCTTTATTTATATATATATATTTTTTTTTTTTAGGAACGATTGCAAAAAAGCTGAACCTTACTCATACACCTCTCGGTGATCTCGGTATAGGTGAAGAAATTACTGAAGAAATGATTTCAGGAGATCCTCGAACAGATTTCATGTTCAGCCTTACTAAACCGAAATATTTTCAAACTCTTTGGAACATGGTCAACGATATAATTTCATCCACAACTAAAAATGTCTAGTCGAATAAGTATGTTTAGCATTGTGTTTTAAAACTGTTTTTAATGACTTAGATAAAAGACTTTAGTACAAAGTGTTTATAAGTATTAAATTTTTATTATGGGAGAGATTAAATACTTCTATCAATACTAATTTTTACTTAGTATTCGAGTCTGAATAAATAATAAATTGATAAACTGACTCAAATTGCCTTATGAAAGTTTATACAGAAAAAACTTAATTTTAGCAAAGTAATTAAATATTTTTATTCAGATTTTTTAATGTTATATTTATTTTCTAAATAAATATTTTTCCTATAAAATTACATTTATCTCATCTGATGATCTTATATTTTACAGATCCTAAGTTGATGTTAAAAAAATGGAAAAACAAATTATCTAAGTATTAATTGAAGTATTTAAGTATAACTCAGGATATAATGATCTAATTATATGTTCGGAGAATATTTGTGAATGAGTTTTTTGGTTAATATGTGAAGGTGAAAGATAATTAAACAGTCCTGGTCCTGGTGGTGTCATGAAAAGTATATTGTTTATTATAATTGGCAAGATTAAAAAAAAAAAATATATATATATATATAAAGAAGTGAGTGGTATGCTTTTTACTACCAGTTGAAAAAGAATTAGAGTTTCTTAATGACTATATTTACTAGTACCATTTAGCGTTTTAATTATTCTAAATGATAATCAAAAAAGTGATAAATAGTATTAAATCAGAATTTTGAATAATTGCGGTGCCAAAATTGTGATTAGCCATGTTCTTCGAACAGTTAAACCTGTGAAAAATTACCACGATAATGGAAGTTATTTTTATAGTTAAGAAAGATTATTTATTCAGTATTATTTTTAGTTCTAAAAAATAATTTAATATGTTTAAATTATTTTTATGTTATTTAAACGGTAAATTTAAATAGAATTTAGTGACCAGAATGAAAATAAAATAAAAATATTTGATGTATTTGGAATTTTTAAATGGAAAATAATTGGAGATTATTGCTTTTAATTGCAATGAAACAAAACACTAAAAAATAAATGAAATGAAAAACTATGTTGCTGTGCCAAATGTAAGCATAGTAAAATATAGCAGTACATAGTTTATTGATATATTTAGCAAAAATCTATTAGACATAAAAGAATGTTTAAAATTATTTAGAAAATCTAAGTTTTGTTGATGTTCAATATCTGCTGTTTGTACAAAATGACACAGCATTGATAGTTAATAGTACTTGATAGTTTTAAGTCTATTCTATGCTAAAATGCTCAACTATTGCTAGACTTAATACATATTTACTGTCCTTGATTAATAAAGTTAAGTAGAAGTCGAAATTTGTGATGCCTCTAAACAAGGCATTCTTCTTTTTATTTTATTTTTATATTGTTTTAAGTTTAGTTTTTAAGTGAAAACAAATATAAGTTTTTTTACTTTGTTTTATAAGTGTATATTTTTATTATTGTGTACATATGTATCATAAATACAAGTGATAAGTTGATATTCAGTTTTGCATATTTGTGTTTTGTATGAGTACTTTTATATTGTCCTGTGATTTGTGTTTATATTGTTGCCTATACATTCTATAATCAAGAATTAGTTTTTATTTTCTTACTATGTATATTTTTTTTTTCTATTTTTAACTGAAAATGACCACATTTATAACAGCATAGTTATAGTTGAAAGACTGTAAAGATTTTATATTTTTAAAAATCAGGTCCAACATGGATAGTAGATCATAAAAGTGGAAAAGGTTAGTCAATGATAGAACATTTATAAAACAATAATTGAATGAAGTTCAATTCAATATATTTCTTTATGTAAATTAAATCACATTGTGTTGTATTATTTATAAAACGTCATAACTCAAAAAATCATCCATTATAATTAATTGTTTTAATAATTTCCTTCTAAAAAATATTTGGTCATTTTTATTTTTAAAAAATAGGGGAAAGTTACCAACATTGGACCACTTCCCATCTGAGCCAAACCTTCAGTTTTGTAAATTTGACCTATTGATGTAATTTTGTATAGAATTAAAAATAAATATTGGACTTTAGGGGGGTTAGGGGTAATTGTGGCCTGTGTTTCTTTTAACTGACTAAATGTATATCTTCTCATATTTGGTATGTAAGGGCCTTCCCAAAAACAATTAAAAAAATTAATAGTAGCAAGAATCAAATATCGCAATGATTACTTGGGATAAATAAAGAAACTGCCTGTGGTCCGATTTAGGAAACTTGAACAAATTAAACATGTTGTGATGTGTTCCAATAATAATGCATTATTTGGAGCAATTAAATAACTAGAAACAGTATGGCAACAAATTTTTTGCAAAACACTTTCTTTGAACAGAGTGACAAAAATGCACTCTGTTAAGTTTGAAATATATTGTTCTTACAGTTTCTTTATCTATGGTATGTAAGATTGGTTTTTTTTTCAGTTATGGCGTTATTTTTTTAATGGGTGATGTTGAAAAGGAAATTAGCTTAACTATACTAGAAGTTACTGTTAATATTATTTTCTTTAATTTTTTTTCTCTTAAATTATACAATTGCCACAGAATTTTCCATACTATAAAAAATATATGTATTTCAGTAGATTCTATTATTAGTTTTATCTTTAAAAAATAAATTTCATAAATGAATAGAATCGTGTTAAACAAATGTTGTGACATTCTTTAAAATGGAAATGTGTGCCTTTTCAAGCTACAGATATTAAAATTTTATCTCTGTCACATTAAAATGATTTATTACATTCAAATGTATGAAATTTACTGTGGCTTGTAAATTGTTATGCTGGTTGGAGCAATTATTCATCTATATTACTTTTATCATGATCAGATTTATAGAAATATATAACATAAGAATATATAATTACTTTTATGATATATAAATATATTAATGGGTATTACCCTATTAAAAAAGTTCTATATATATACAAAAATCTATATATATATTAATGTCTTGCTTAAACATCATTATGCAAAGGATAGTTGGAAATGGTGGTAGCTTATTGTGTTTGAAACTTGTACTTGTGCCTTTAAGCAAAGCAGATATCCTTAACTATCCTTAAATTTATATTTTTTAAGTATGCTACAATACAAATGATCCATAAACTTTTCAAAATAATCAGTTCTTGGAGTGTGGAATTTAAATTTTGGATTCAGAAAGGCTAGTGAAAATATGTCGCAATTGTAAATTTAAAACTGTATCTGTTCAGATGTGAAATTAACAGTTATTAATTGTATTATAGTTGAAAAAACTTCTTGATATTGCCATTTTATCAATAATGACTTTTATTTTATTTATTTTTTAATCTCTTTATGTACTTTTTTTAAATTATATTTTTCCCTGTTCGTGTTTAAGCATTCTTAAGTGATATGATAAAGAAAATGTATTTAACCAATAAAAGATAAACTATTGATTGATGTTTTGATAATCCTTATGATTTTTTAATTGTTTTTCTTTTCTTTTCTATAAAATTTAATTAATGTAAGCTAATTACAAAAAGAACAGACAAAATATTTCGAGAAAGATCTCTGTAAATATTATCATATAAAAAAGCAACAAAATAGGTATATAAAGATATTGTAGTAAAGATTCTTAGTGTAATATGAAAATATAAAAAAAAAATGTTGCAAATTATTTCACAATGGTTTATTATTTGCGAACAATTATACATCTAAAGTAACATTACCTTCCTAGTGACAAAGAAAAATAAATAAAAGACAATTCCAATTATTGGACTAAACATTTTTTTAATCATTATTATTCTGCTTAAAAAAAAAAAAAAAAAAAATAGCATTACTTCAGTAACACATTCAAACATCAAAAACCAAAACAAAGGATATAACCTTTGCAGTAAACATATAAAAAATATTTAGAGACCATATCATTGCTTCTAATTGTCTAATTTTATCAATTTTTTTTAATGAAATTTTCTAAACTTTTAAATAATTATATACAATATCAACAAAAAGTTTATACTTTTTGAGTCATTTGGAATCTAATTTTACCATCCCTCGTAACTTTTTTTCCAGCTTCTTTTCGTTAAAGTATGTTATATAGATAAATTTAAAGGGCGTCAAGAAGAAGACTTTAGCCAAGTTTCATTGAAATCGATTTAGATGCTGCAGTCTATAGCAACGCAGGTTTTTCGGCCACCATTTTGAAAGGAAGAGGCTGATAGTAATGTCGATGAAGGATGATAATCCTCGGGTGATCTCTGATTTTTAATCCAAATTTGAAAAAAATTGATCGAGTAGTTTCGGAGAAAATGCCTGGATGGCGGACTGACAAACACATTTTTATTTGTTTTACGAATTCTATCTTGAAACGTAAAACCTCAAATTTTGAGAGGGGATTGTTTATCATTTTTTGTTTGGTTACAATGGTTCGTTATTGAAAATAATAAACCAATATTATATTAATAATGGTTAAAATTAAAATTGTATATTTTATAGTCACTGATATCAGCAAATAAAAATTATAATTTAAAGATAAAAAAATTCATTATTTAATTAACTTTATTTACAAAACAAGAGAATGGATTGTTAAAAATTTATTATCTTCCTAAGTCATATTCTTAGAATTTGTAATATCCTAAATAAGCAATGCCTAGCAATGAAGGGGATGAGCATCCAGCCAAAATTAATCCAACTTGCAGCATGCAATTTAAGTGAAAGTGTTAGTGGAGTGAAGGTAAGGAGGAAGCTGAGCCAACCTTTTGCAGTGAAGTCATGAGTTGGGTAGGACAATCTCCTCTCCTGATTTCTAGTTAATATTCGCCCTCCAGATTACTAAGGCCACCATCCAGACCTAACTCCGCAATGCTTTATTTTCGAAAATCTTAATGAATTTTTCATCATTTAATGTATATGTTGATGTTTCACTTTATAAAGAACCATAATAAGTATGATTGTCTTATCATTTTTAAATTTTGGAGAAGGTGCGAGCTAAGTAATTTTTCAAAAGAAAAATAACTACCATTTTGATCCTTTAGTCTAGCCTTAATTTCCTCTTTAATATAGTTTTCCTAGATATCGTCGAGTCTAATACCTAAATTTTTTTAAGTCTTCCAGCTGCCTTCCCTTCAATATTTATAAAACCAAAATCGTCCCAATTCCTGCAGCTTGTCATATGTTTGGTTTTATTAGTATCTATTTCAAGATCCAGTTCTTTACCAGCTTTCATCAACTTTGTTTTCTTTATTTTTTATAGTTTCCGCATCTTCACTTGACAGTATCAAAACATCGCATCGGCTTATATCTTATGATTTAGTCTATTACAAAATACATTGTCTAAAATATTGATATAAAATGTTGGCTTTTATTGGGAAGAGGGAGCAAAATTTAGCTTAACCCTACTGTTCGCCAATGCAACTGATGCGACCCATTGGGGTACAGATGCAACAGCTAGTTATAAAATAATGCTGAGAGTCTGACGATCTATTGCCTCCTAATTTATAACAACATAATCGTAACATCAAAATTAGGAATCGTAGAAAGGATACATTCCAAAAAAAATTATAAAGCTAAAATATAATGCAATAATTTTGACACAGT